AAGCTGATGATAGTTTGGTAAACAATGAAGATATTACTGTACACAGGTTGGTTGTTCAGTAACAACGTGGAAAAGACATTTCAGACACAAATACCCAAACTTCATTCCAACTAAATCTGGAGCATTGAGTTTAAATCCAATTGTTGATTCCAATTAGAATGGACCCATTCAATGAATGAGACTTGTTGGCACAACACTTATAGAAATCCCGTTGATTCAGTAGGTCTCCTAATTGGGACTAACGCTAGGATTTAGCCACATTTCTTCATTTCTTTTTAATAATAAACTATTAGAAGGGTTCTGTGTGATTGTAGGCCTTTATAAAGAAGCACATTTTATCCAATTTGAAAATAGCCTTTTAACAAATAAATATAATAGCAGAAATAGTTTTTTGCTACATGACTCTAAAGAAACAATGTTGTTTTGCGGTAGCTGTTAGAAAAATCCATAGTTAGTGGCTACATCGTCCCATAGCCAATAACTTTTAGATTTGTTTGATTCAGAGTTTTGAATACTGCTTTGGAGAAAGCATTGTATTGCCATTAGCTTGTAAGAAAGCAACTTGTTGCTGTTATTGTTCAGTAAAAGAGTAACAGCATACTAGTGAAGTGAACAATAGGGTGTGTTAAAATATTCTGCTTTGCTCCTCAGAAATAGTGTAAACCCTGTTTACATAGCAGGCAATGGAGCCGGCAGGGCTGCTGGGTTGAGCTCCCTCTGTCAGCTCCAGCTCCCCAATTAACCTTTAAGTTACTAACATTGACAGTATTGAATTAATTTTCCAATTGCTAATGCTTAATATGTTTTGAGATGTAAGTTTTCCTCTAGAATAAAGACCATTTTGGAAGGTAAAGATGAAAGGAAGATTATCTCCTATTATTCAAAGCTACTTCCTCCTGCTTATAGCTATAAAATTCTCATATTTTATCTTAGGTGTTTTTTTCTAGGGCCCACTTGATGTTGGTTAAACCTTAACTATCATGCAGAAACAATGTTGCTCTTTAGGTGTATGCTGTGAGGTGTCCTTAAAGAGTTTACTGTTTTGTGCTCCCACTGTCCTTTAGAGTAACTTTGTAGAATCACCTGTTTCACAATTCTGCAATGTTTTAGGATTGTAATATTAGCAAAGAGGAATATGATGTAAGGAAGCTTTTCATTTTGACATAAAATAGTTATTTCTGAGTATTGTTAGTTTCTGATGACTCCATAGTAGTAAATAAAGTGTTAGTAGATAGTAAATACATAGACAGTAAATAAAGTGTTTAATTTCCACCTTCAGTTGTTTCCTCTGTTTCCATGTGTAAATAGTTTTACCTTATGTCAGCTTATAGAATGAGGAAGCCATCTCCATTCCCATCCATTTGCACCAGGCTATAATTGTCAATCTTGAAGCAGGTCAGGTGGGACTAACTTGAAGGACAATGCTTAGAAAGGTTATGAGGTTTGCAGGAAATTCCTTGCTGGGAACATAGAAAATCATCTCACATGGATGTTGAAGTTACAAACAATTATGTGTTCTTTAGGTGGTCTAAACATTCTCTTTTGAAAAATAAATACCCTTCCCTTAGCTTCTACCTGCTTTTGGATTTCTTCATTTTTTAAAAAACAAGAGACTTACTATATAATTTGGTTCTACTCCAAACCCAAGAGGAAATGAATTATAGCAGTTGTAATGGTGCAAAGCAGATGTTTTAGTTGGACTGGCTGTTAACACTCTGACTCATAATAAATCCTCAGTTCCAGTAAATTCCCAGTTTCAGTTACAGTAGGTAGTAGAGGATTCAGGAAAACAATGTGCTTATCCTTTGTGCTTTGAATGTGTTTGGGAATTAATGCTTGCCAGGAATCCATTTTTTAGAAAAGGATACTCTATTGTTCAATTGTTTCGTTCATCAGATAAATATATTCTGAACATACATCACTACTGGTAATAAGAATTCAGTTGTTGCTAATGAAAAACCACACATATTGAATTAGGTGAACATATTGGTTAAGGAGTGTGTTTACCTCTTTGTTTTCAAAATGTATATTTATTAAATCAAATTTACTAAAGCCGAAATATATGCAATCCTGTGTGTGATAATCCCTGAAACAGCTTAAATACAACTGAAAATAGTGTCAAAAACCCTTAATAAATTGTGTAAGAAATTTATTGTGAAATATATGGTTTGATTTAAAGATCTCTGGTTGTATTAAGCAACCCTGTTAATAACACAAACTTCAAAACTAGACAAAACAGTATAGATGTAAAACTTTAGGAGATTTTGAACTCATAGTAATTAGAGAGGGGGGGGAGAATATGTCATTCTGTTTATTTTCCCCCCTCTCAAAAAGTGTGTGATTTGATCTCTGAAGTATATTCCACAATTGTTATCAACCTTAAATATTGTTGACTGAATGTGACATGTGTAATTATAATGTAGCATAATAGAAACTGATATTTCACATGAAAGTTATGGAACAAAAATGTGCTTCTTTACTCAAAGTGTGTTTTGCCTGGTTGAAGGCTGTATGCTGCTAGCATATGAACCAATGATGTAGATATGTCTTGGTTGTTTTTCTTAGTCATTTATGCCCCCCCCCCAAAGGATATTAGGTTTCTGGATAAGATTGCCTGGGCAACAGCATCCCGGGTGCTGAGATTTTAGGGCCAAAATGTGAGCATAGGATGTCACAGGTGATATTCTTTGGGCAGGTTAACCAGGACGCTGCTACATAAGGAAGCTTTACTCTAATGAAAGGAAATGCTCAAAGTTGATGTTCCCATCTCTTCTTTCTGCCTTTCCATGTCCTGAAAATTTGCATAAAGCACTTCAGCTGCCAGGGGAAGAACCTGCATCAAAGATGAGGGGGACTCATCTTTGAGTCCCCCTTTTCTCTTTCCTGTATGTCCCATACTTGCACCTTGTGCTACAAGTTGAAAGCAGCCTCCTTTTTCCCTGTGGTATACACATACAGAGAGAACACATAGTGACAAGTCTTTCAAGTGGGAAAGGGGGAGGGTGTGGTATTGGGAGATAAGAAGGATTTGCAGATAGTGATGGCTGTCACATGTGAATGAATGATTGCCTTCCACGTGTAGGGTCTTGGCGGTGGGTCCATAGGTGACTGTAGATACCTATTATTGATCAACATGTTCTTCACAGTGAGGACAGGGAAGGCGGACCTGACATGGGTTGGCTTGACGCACCTTCCTTTTTCCTCCCCCCCCCCCCCCAAATTTGTGCTTTTTCAAATTCCACAGCACTGTTGGTAACAGCTGACCTCCAGTTAGAACACTTGAGTGTCAGGCTCATTCCTGATGATTTAGCCACAGTTTTTAAAGTTTTAAGTCCATCTTTAAATTTTTTTCCTGTCCAGCAACATTCTGTTTTCTATTCTTGAGTTGAGAGTAGAGTAACTGCTTTGGGAGACAGTGATTGGGCACTCGGACAACGTGGCTAGTCCAGCGGAGTTGATAGTCTTTGTTGTCCACCTGTGTTGCAGGATTTTTCAGAAGCAATGCTGATGGAATTGTTCCAAAAGTTCAGTGTGACATCTGTAGGTGGTCCATGTTTTGCAGGCATATAACAGGGTTGGGAGGACAATAGCTTTATAAACAATCATCTTGGTATCCCTATGCATGTTCCAATTGTCAAACACTCTCTACTTGATTTAAAAAAATTGGTAATAAAGGCAAAATTTCAGGGCTTTAATGTTTCTGTTCCTAGGTTACAGCTGATTAATCATTGTAGTGGTAATACTGCTGCTTTCCTTTTCCATCTTTTCCTGAAGGTCACGTTTACTTACATAAACTAGCTGATGGCCCTTCTTTAAAATTAAGTAAATTGAAAAAGTAGAGACATGGGAAGATTTTCTGAGCATGTTCATTGGACACAGTTACATTAATTTGCAATATGTTTCATATTAGAATTTAGTTCTGTATCTCTTTTGAGGGATGTTTGATACAGAAAGATTTGGTTGTATTAGTAGTATGGTGGCAAGTGAAAATGCATGCAAGTTGTTGAACTGAGAAATTTTGGGAAGAACTCAAGGAGAAGTTAGCATTGCTGTTTTTTTATTCCTATTAAACTGTTGAGTGCTCCAGATTTCAAAATATAGTTTTTTAAAAATATCCAAACAAATTGAAATTTTTAATTTAAAATATTATGATTTTAGATCAACCCATTGAAACTACTGTATAACTTGACTTCATGCATAAAGAATCATTATGTAGAGTGTAAAGCCCTAGCACTGTCTAGAGATCAGCAGCCCTTGGCCATTACTACTGTCATTTCTCCATCCAGGCATTAAAAAAGGCCAGAAATGGTTCCATAGCAGATAGAGCAGAAGAGGACAGTGCTTCTTTAAGGTTCTACGGAGAACCTCTTGTCTTTTGCAAAACTATTTAGAGTTAGTTACTTTAAAAAGTGGGGGGGGGGGGAGAGGTTAAATACATCATTTAAAAATATTGAAGTAACTACGTTTTCTTAGATTTTTAAGAAGTAAAAATATAGCCAATTATGCTGTATTTGATACTTTGAGTTTTTAGTTGGCAATTCTGAGTCTTTGTCCATTTTTTAAAGATCTGACCTTCATGGGGACAAAGACACTAGCAATAAAATGTTTTAGGATTGCAATCATGTAGAAAATTAAAATTCAGCCAATTCCTTGCTTTCCATTTCTCAAGATTTTTTGAAATAATAGCTGACTTGAGTTTTAAGGGCAGCAATTTCTGCATAAGAATATTTTGATATGCCCACTAGCAGTAATTTGACATCTGTCATGTTCATGGCAATGACATGTAATTTATGTCAACCACATGCAAATAAAATATGTAAATTAGTTCCTACTAATATTATATTATTAATGTGACCCATGGTGCTGAGCAGCTTGTTTTTAGACATTTTTAAAGACCAACTGTGCAGACTAAAACCTTATAGACAGGCCTTGAACTCTCTCTTGCTCGTGACTTCTATTGGTCGGAAACATATTTTCTTTCTTTGTATATCTGTGTTTAGGATGCAAATGAAGACCCTGGAGAAGATGTTGCTCTTCTGTCAGTCAGTTTTGAGGATACAGAAGCTACACAAGTTTTTCCCAAGTTGTATTTGTCACCACGAATTGAACAGTAAGTACCCTGTTCTTCCAAGATCCAGTTGTATTTGAATATACATGAAATTTTGAGTAGTATAAAGCCACTTTATCTTTTTAATTGGCAAAAGACAGTAGTACGATATCTGTAAGTGGCTACGTTGGTGAAGTTGTTGCTTACTGTTCACATTTTTTCAGTTTCAGATGTATGGTACTATTAGAGCTGCTTCCTGTTCTTTGAAATGATACTCATTGAAGGTTCTATTGATTTCCTTTTGACTTTTAATCTTTTTGAATATTTATGGTTCCTGGTTTTATCCTAGATTCCTTTAATAGGGAGAATATGAATGATCACCTCAATCATAGGAAAGACCTATCCAGTTTATCATATTGATCAGCCAGATGCTATGGAAGCCTACAAGCAGAACATGAGTGTGATAACACCATGTAGTTTCTGTTGCAATGTACTGTATATTCCGGGGTACTAGACGACTTTTTAGGCATGTAAAACTTTATAAAAAGTTGGGGGTCTCCCTCTCTCCTCCTCCTCACCGGTAGAACCTCTTGGTGTGGAGGGCCATGGCCTCGGGCTCCCATCCTCCTCCTCCGCCGCCTCCTCCTCCTCCTCTGCTGCCTTGGTTCATGGTGGCCTCCTGGGCAGGCTCACCATCCTTCCTCCCATCCTGGATGCCTTCCTTGCTCAGGCCCAGGCCTCTCCCCTGGGCTGCTTCCTGCGCCGCCTCCGGAAGAACCTCCATGCTGCTCCGGCCTCTCTCCTTATTCCTGCCCCCACCTCTGCTGCCATCGCACCTCTGCCTCCCAGCCACCAAGCCTCGAGAGAAGCACCTCTTCTCCCGCGAGACAGTGTTGTCGCGTGGGAGAAGAGGCGCTTCTTGCAAGGCCTTGCCAGGAAGAAGGAGAGCGGCCTGAGCAATTGCGTTTTCTTTTTTCTGGCCAGGCCATAGCGGAAAACAGATATCTGCCCTAAAGCCATAGCGGATTATTTGAGCTTCTTTGTAATTTCCTTATCCCCCTGTAATATTAATTTAATACAGAACTTACAGTTTGTGAAAGAAAAAAATTACACTGGCATTGCTTACTAATATTGATGGTGATTTTTTGGGGCTATGTATTACTTTTCTTTTCCTGAAGTATGCATTCTAGAAAAGTATCTATTAAGGTGACTTTTTTTTTTTTACTAAACCACAAGCATTTGGGAAATACCTGGTGCTCTTGAATTTACATTTTAAGATCCTTTTACCATTTTCCTCTTTTAGTAGTCCTTCCTTCTTTGGAATCTAATAAGACACTGGTGGAGTTTCTTGGCATATCCCCACTTAATTAAAAATGAATTTTATTGTAGTTTGATGGTCACTCTTCCCAAGCGGTTCAGCTACAGTTACCTCTTACATTAGGTTCTGGACAAACACCATTCCTAATGATAAAGCTATGAGAAGTCTTAATTGTTCACCCTGTCTAGTTAAAAGTAGGGTGAAGAAAACTATAGGGTTAATTAAATTGTGCTTATTTTTGTGGATGAAATATCAAACCACATTCTACTTCTCAGTTTATGCTCTTCCATCACATACTACAGGGTGAGGCAGCATAACTTCTTTTTTTTAAAATGTGCGCCATTCAGTCAGTTGAAGATGTAGCGGAGCGCTAGTGGTCTCGTCCAAGAGGCGGCAATATAAAGTTTTGTCCTGACACAGTTCAGTCGCCATCATGCGTTGGAACAGTGAGCAGCGTGCTTTTGCTGTTGAGGCCTACTTTTCGAGCAGATTTGGAGTGGCCAACCCGCTCTCCAGATTTGGCCCCTTGTGATTTTTTTTCCTATGGGTTTTTTTAAATCCCTTGTTTATGTGAACTGTCCAAGGACCCTACAAGATTTGAAGACTAACATCCAGGAAGAAATTGCCAACATAATGCCTGCTATGCTGGCAAGAGTCATGACAAACGCCGGAAATCAGTTTACTCAGTGTATGGAGAATAGGGGACGTCACCTACCTAATTTGATCTTCAAAACTACATAAAACAAAACTTTAGGTTTGCTCCTACATTATAAAAAAAATTCTGATTTATACAATGGGTTTTATTAAGTTTTGAAAAAAGGAAGTTATTCTGCCTCACCCTGCACTATCAATGGAACCAACGGCCACTCTGGGGCCAGAATAAAGAAGGGAAGCCAGGAAGACGTTGCCATCTTGTCCCCTGTGACATCAGCGCCCCTCCCCCAGCACCAACGGCCACTCTGGGGCCAGAATAAAGAAGGGGAGCCAGGAGGATGTTGCCATCTTGTCCCCTGTGACATCAGCGCCCCTCCCCCAACACCAACGGCCACTCTGGGGCCAGAATAAAGAAGGGGAGCCGGGAGGACATTGCCATCTTGTCCCCTGTGACATCAGCGCCCCTCCCCCAACACCAACGGCCACTCTGGGGCCAGAATAAAGAAGGGGAGCCAGGAGGACATTGCCATCTTGTCCCCTGTGACATCAGCGCCCCTCCCCCAACACCAACGGCCACTCTGGGGCCAGAATAAAGAAGGGGAGCCAGGAGGACGTTGCCATCTTGTCCCCTGTGACATCAGCGCCCCTCCCCCAACACCAACGGCCACTCTGGGGCCAGAATAAAGAAGGGGAGCCAGGAGGACGTTGCCATCTTGTCCCCTGTGACATCAGCGCCCCTCCCCCAACACCAACGGCCACTCTGGGGCCAGAATTGTTTTTATACTATGTCTTGAATTTTGTTGTTCCTATGTTGTACACCGCTATGAGTCGCCCCTGGGCTGAGAACAGCGGTATATAAGCAAAGTAAATAAATAAATAAATAATAAACCATAATGACATAGCTACAGAAGGCAAGAATAAATGTTGCTGGCGTAAAATAGCTTTGTATGTGTTGTATCCAAATATATCTCCCTTTTCCGGACGTATCTCCCTCTATGAACCATCTCGAAGATTAATATCTTATGGGGAAGCCCTGCTCTCAGTCCCACCTCCTTCGCAGACGCAATTGGTGGGGACGAGAGACAGGGCTTCTCAGTAGTGGCCCCTCAGCTATGGAACTCTCTTCTCATTAATATTAGATCAGCTCCCTCCCTCCTGGCCTTCAGAAAGAAAGCAAAAATTAGGCTATGGGACCAAGCCTTCGGATAGAGATATAGTGCAATAAATGGATACAAAATATGTGCAATGGAATGCCTCAGGATTATGATCTTGAACTGTATGGTTTTAATAATTGGTTTTAGATATTTTAATTCATTGGTTTTAGTTTAAATGTTTATTTTAATTGTATATTATTTTATGGCATTGAATTGTTGTCTACGTGTAAGGCCTCTCTGAGCCCTCCTTGGGATGAGAAGGGTGGGGTATAAATATGATAAATAAATAATGTGAGTACATTACTTTCAGCTAGATTCTACAGGTGATAGGAACAATGTTTAATTGTTTTTGTATCTTTTTAATGAAGGACAACATTAAGATGTAATGTTTGTTACATGTATGTTATACAACATTCCCTTATAAATTATTTATAGTAATCAAAAAGTGTATCTGAAATTTGCAGTACTTGAGTGAAGCTACTGGAAAATACTTACTAAACTACAGACAGGAATTTAAGAAGTAATACAGTATCTGTTGAAGTACATGTCATAATATTTTACTGTAAAGTTATGTTACAACACATATAATAAACAGATTTCTAATAAAGTAACTTTGTTCCAAAAATGGAAATGTTAGAGAATGAAATCAACTGCCTCCATAATATTTCTCTTCCATTTTTGGAGTTGAATACACTTCTGTTTTTTATCCAACTTCTCCCCTTGTGTTTCTGTCTTTAAATGTCTGCTTCAGAGCTTCAGGCTTACAAGTACTTTACCTTAGAGATAAGCATTCATGAAAAATGTTCTTGTTTTGCTTCATGCCTTAACAAATGAAGGTTTCCACAGAGAAAATTAAAAGTTGTGAAACTGGAAGAGACTTAAAAAAAACACTAGTGTTTGTAGTATCCTTAAATGGGCAAGATATTTTGGGCACACTGAAACTGAAAGAAGAAAGAATTGGGTTTAGAAAATTGATGGAATAAATATGTCAATTTCTTTAAAATTAGATGTTCAGTGTGAATATATTTGAATTGTAAATGCCTTGAATACTCCATGTGTGTATAGGCAAACAAACCATTGATATATGAAGTATACTCATGTATACACCTAATCTATGAGTCATATCCAAATCCACATTTTTGCCACGAAAAGTTGCCCTCAACTTATAGATAAGGTTGACTTGTACAAGAGTATATACTGTATATCTGATTTTGAGAAATGGGTGCTGGACACCATAGTATATGCAGTAGTCACCCAGAGACAGATTATAGCTGGCATAAAGAAATGTCCAGAATGCTGATTATATTTCCCAAGGATTTCTATTAGGATCACTATCTGGCTGATGTTGAAAACAACAAGCCCTAGTTATCAAAATATTGCTGTGGTTACCAATGAAAATCCAGGCACAGTTTTAATGTTGGTTTTTAAATGCTCAGCTCCTAAGTGGCATGGCTCTGTTATTTGAACATTGTATGCATTATTATATGCAAGGGAAAATGTTCTCTAAAATTAGTTCTTATTTGTTTTAAAATCAGTTTCAGAATGCCTTAAAATATTTCAATATGCTTCAGATTCTGTTTTGTTCTTTAGGGAGTCTGTGTGCATTAATGGGGCAGAGATGGGATCTGTGGATCTCTTCTTCCTTCCTACATTTGGTGCCTTCCCTTCTGTCTTTTGCTGGCAGCAATCAGACAGAGTACTATGTTACCTCTATTTTGTAATAGTTTTCCAAGAGAGACTTTACTGATTCTTTCTCTATGTCTGTTTAGGAAGCTGTTCAAGATCATTTTAAAGGAAAAGTTTAATGTCCGGACTTTATATTTAATTTTTATCCTATTTTTAGTTGTATTACGTTTTGCCTCATTTTGCTTTGCTTCAATGCTATATTGGGGGGGGGGGGCTGAAAGAGAGGTTCAGGGGCCTCATGTGGCTCATAA